TGTTGTTTCTAGATGAGTTTGGGGACCATCATCCAAAGTGGCTCTTATGTAGGTAACTGGTCTGATACTTTAGTGGATTCATGGGTTAACTTCCAGCAAACTGACATTTTTTTTTTTCTTTTTCTTTCTTTCTTTTTTTTTTGGGTTTTTCGAGACAGGGTTTCTCTGTGTAGCTTTGCGCCTTTCCTGGAACTCACTTGGTAGCCCAGGCTGGCCTCGAACTCACAGAGATCTGCCTCCCGAGTGCTGGCATTAAAGGCGTGCGCCACCACCGCCTGGCTGCAAACTGACATCTTTACAATACTGAGTCACCTTACTGTGGTGACATTTTGTTTGTACTCTAACAAATAAAGCTTGCCTGAAGATCAGAGGGTGGAGCTAGCCATGGCATGAAAGAGTCCACAGAGATGTGTGTCCTCTGAAGCATGTCCGGGCACTTTGGAGCAGACATAGAAAAGCCTCCATTTGCTCAGAGAAGTAAACACCTAAGTTACAAAGCAAAGCATCTTCATGCTAGAAACAAGGACATGGAAAGAGAAGCCAGGACCCTCTCCAGATAGCCATGAGCCCTTCGGGTACATTACCCACCCACAGCATTAGGCATTTTGAATTCATTAGACACCAAGAGCCCCAGAATTCAGCACAAAAGCATGCTTCCCAGCAATGTCTTATGTATTTGAAAGCTGGAGAGTAATCCTGGGAGGGGCTGAGCTCTAAAGCACCAGTTGGATATGTTTTAGACTCTGTTTACAACATGACACTATGAAACCAAGAGTTTGGAAATTGGTATGGAGATGACCATGGGAAAGCCATGATGAAGGAGGCACTCACTACCTGTGATGAAATAGCTACTACTCAGACACCATTCTGTGGGAGCAAAGAAGACAGGAAACAGCAGATAGGAACGTTTCCTCACACCCATCTAGAGATTGCTAGCGCACACATTAGGCTTCTTAAACTACACATTAGCAAGAACTATAGGTGTTTTACACTCTGCTACACTCCTGAAATATAGTCTTTAGCATCTCATTTAAACACCATGCGCCGTATTTTTATTTTCTCAACCAACTGTTCCCATATCAAGCTTAAAGGACCAACCAAGGACCCACAGATGGCTCAGCAGACTATGCTGCCTGCCACCAAGCTGGCCACCTTGAGTTCAATACCTGAGACCTACATGATGGAAGGAGAAAACAAGTCCCCTTGGGTGTTCCCCTAATTTCTGTGGTGTTGACACACGTGTGGGTGCATGTATATTCACATACACACACGATAAATAAATGTAAAAGAAAAAGAAAAGCCAGGTTGCCCCCGATAACACAGTGAACAGAAGACGGCTGTTAAATGCCTAGTGGGGCTATTTTCATCCAAACCGTCCCACGTTTAAGGGACTCCAGCCAAAAGCAACAGGAACCATTCACAACATTCCATCAAATCAAGCGGAGGAAGGCTGTGAGGGGGGGATTTGCAGAGGCTACGTTTGCCATGAAACGGATTCTCACACCTCCCCATTCCCTCAAGCACCACTGAGACAAATAATCAGAGTCCATTATACTCTCATTGGTATGTATGTTTTCCAAATACCAAAACGTCTGTGTGACACACAGTCAAAGCCAGTTTTTTTGACAGTGCTGGAAGCAGTGAAGTCCTCAGCTCATATGGACACTCAGATCAATTTACTTGAGAGAGAACTAAAACCAAATCAACTTCTTCTGAGAAAGGAAGAATAATTGCCACCTTTGGAGTAAACATCTAATGGGACAATGGCCTGCGACAGTGATCCACGTAAGCCCTTCCCATTATGGCACTTGACATGGGTACCCTGGGAAGAACGTCTGTTCCCAAGAGGTCTGGCCTGCTTAATCATGTTGACAGGAACAGCTATTCACCTGGGGCCAAATCCCTGGTGTCAAATTCAAGCAGGCCGTGTCGGGTTCTTAGCCACAGACTTAGAGGGTTTGTTTCTCGTGAAGAATATTAGAATTTGGAGTAGAAGTAAGACTGCGCAGAAAACATGGGTCCTCTTAAGGGACTTGGTCATTTCCTTTTCCTCTAAAGACCCCTCCTCAAACAAATTCTGGCTGGTCCTGAAGGGGCTGGAGAACCACCAGGAAGAACTGTGAGTTGAGAATCCTGAATTTGTCAAACCAATGCTCCCTCTCGGTGCCTTGGATGGCATTCCTCACCCTGGATCTGGTTTGTCATTTCACTTTTTAGGATGTGTGGTGTCACGAAGGTCAGGGGCACAGGCTCTGGGACAGGTGACAGGTTCAAAGCCACATCATCTATTCCGTATGCCAGCTGAGGGCCTGGGACGAGCTCCTTCTCTGGGCTGTGTTTCATCTCATCACATGGAGCCCCTTGCGGATGCAGGGTTATGAAGATTAGCACGTCCACTGATAATCCTGTCCATCGCACAGCAAGCATCCAAAGTGAGTTGGAGAGGAGGACTGGGAAGACAGCTCTGTGGATATAGTGCTTGTGCTTGGTGTGTAAGTGGGAGCACTTGGGTTCATCTCCCCATTGCTTATATAAAAGCACAGTGGGGTTGAACCTGAAAATCCAACTCTAGAGTGAGGACACGAAGACACAGGCAGGTTACTAGAGCTTGTTAGCCAGCCAATATGGCTGAAATGATGAGTTCTGGGTTCAGTGAGAGACCTATATGGGCAGGAAGAAGGAAATATCTGCGCGCGCACACACACACACACACACACACACACACAGAGTAATAATTTGTTTTTAGCCAACTGACCAGATGAACAGTAGACAGAGCAAAAAAAAAAAAAATACAAGTAAAAAAAAAAATATATGCCACCAAGGATTTATCACAGAGGGGCTGAAGAGATGGCTCAGTGGCTAAGAGCACTTACTGTTCTTGGAAAAGTACCTGGGTTCAGTTCCCAGTGATTGGCTCACAATCATCATTAACTTCAGTTCCAGGGGATCCTATGCCCTCTTCTGACCTCCATGGGCATAAGGCACACATGCCGTGCACATACATACATGCAGGGAAAACCCCACACACATAAAACAAATAAATCTTTTTTTGTTTAAAGGAACTTACCACTGAGGAAATTTTAGCTCCTAAAAAAGTTGCATGATAAACTCTGAAACTCAAGGGCAGAGAAAGGATAACAAACGAAGTAACTTTGTATTCTTAGAAAATCTCTAAGAACAAAAGATACAACAGCTTTGAAACATTCTTTCCACGGATCTCCAAGGCTAGAATGAAGCCTGCTGTTCTAAATCAGGGTCAGGGGCATCAACATCACCACTTTATCTTGGAGGTGAGACACTTCAGTTAGCACATAATGATGTATCTCCTAGCTCCATTCATTGAAAGCGTTGAAAACCAAGGGTACCCCACAGCACTGAGCACACCTGACACCCAGACTGAGGGTTTTAATATCATTTTCTATGAAAGAAACCAAGGCTTCTCAGAGAAAAATACATACAAGACAAGCCTACTTGCCTTACTGTGCAACCAGTAAGGCATGAGGGACACAAGAGCCAACAGGGAAGGACTCCTGATGCCAGAAACCGGTATAGTTTGAGCAAAACAAACAAACACACAAACAAAAAACACAAATTACTGCTTTCTAACAAGAGTGTAAAAAGAAACCTAGTCCACCAGGCCATTACGCATCCTTATCCATACTGTTACAGCGAGCGTCTCTGGGGCCAAAAATTACAGGTTAAATATCACCGAGCACATCACAAGTCCATATGAGTTCCCAAGACGAAAACTGCATGAATTAGGACAGGTGGTGCTGGCGTAAGGATGGACAAGTGTGCTGCAGAACGGAAGAGCGACCTAGAAACAGATCTAAATATACACCACCCGTGGTATCAGCCCGAAACGGGGCTGGTTGCCCGTCAGTGGGGAAAGAATGGGCTGTCAAACCAATCACGGTGAGACACCAGGCCAGCTACAAGAGGGGAGAAAGCACACGGTATAAACAACAGAGCAGCAGTGTGTGATCTAAAGACAGATCATTACAAGCTTGTAAGTCTGTGAAGGGTAGTTGACATAGACGGCCGATCACCAAGCTCAGGGTCACGGGGAGATTTCCCATAAGAAACCTCCAAAGAACAGACTATAATGGGAAAACATTGACAAATCACCTTCCATACATTGTAAGGGAGATGAGGTACAAAGAGAGGACCTAGACCTGAAGGAGACTCTGTGTGTGTGTGTGTGTGTGTGTGTGTGTGTGCGCGTGCGCACACAGACATGTGCCCGTGTGCATGTGAAAGTGGCCAGCAGATATGTGCAAAGTTGCCCACTCTCCTGGTGACAGAGGAAATGGTTGCTGAAGTTACTATCAGATTCCTTTACACACCTCAAAGCCTCACAAGACTAGACCAGGGTGAGAGGACAAGCAGTTTCACACACTGCTGGTGCCCACCCTGGAAAACACTAGCACACCTTGTAAAACTGAGCACACACACACACACACACACACACACACACACACACACACACACCTAACGAGCCAGCAAAGACTACTACATCCTACAGTCTAGAGACATGCTTAAGCATGGCACTGTGAGATATGGATGAGGCTGCCCAACCAATGTTCAAAACACACGTCAGGAATGACCCAAACGCCCATCAGCAGTTAGACGGGTAGACACGTAAACCAGACCCACATTCAGACACCGGACGACACTGGGCATTCGCTGGGCGACTCTCCAAGCTGGTTTCAAGCAGGAAGCAAATCATCACACGATAAAACATTAATTATTCCATTCAAATAAAACTCAAAATCGGGCAAGTCTAAACAATCAATTTGCTGAGAAATACAAGCGCGGATGTTGAGAGCATAAGGAAAACAAAGCATGATTCCAAAGTTAGGACTGTGGGTGCCTCTAATTGAAGAAAGGTATTCCAGATGTGTCCTTTGGGCTCCTGGGAGCTCCAAAGCTACTTCCCCCCTGGCTGGGTAACAGCATCAGGAGGGGCTGGTCCACGGCATCTGGTGTACAGAACACACTCTGCAACAGAAGAAGCTCCCATGCCTTGTCACCTCACATAAACAGAGAGCTGCCGGCAGGAAGGCTTTCCACCTCCCTGGACCTTTTGGTGTTTGTTGTTGCGCTGTTTTGGGCTTTGTGCTTTTGGCATTTAGAATATATGGGATTTTTGTTATCTAGGATTTCAATTTCTGTTATCTGGTTTGCTTATTTAAAAAAAAAAAAAAAAAACTTCTGTACATATTTTTTGACCTATTCAAGACTAGGGTAGGTTTTAGGGTTGTAGGTAAGAAATCAAACACTTTAAGTTTTAGGAAAATATTGAATTTCAAATGTAAATATGTGTATATAAAATTTTATTTTAGAAAAATGTTTACTTAGTGTGGTGGTTGAAAGAAAATGGCCCTCAAGGGGAGGTGTGACACTGTTGGGGTAGGAATGGCCTTGTTGGAGGAAGAGTGTCACTGTGGGGGTGGGCCTTGAGGTCTCCTTTGCTCAGGCTATCCCGAGTGTTTAGTCTACTGCCTGTTGCCTGCAGATCAAACGTAGCAGCTCCTTCTCCAGCACCATGTCTGCCTGCACACCGCCATGTCCCACCATGACAATAATGGACTCAACCTCTGAACTATGAGCCACTCAAACTAGTGTTTCCTTTGTAAGAGCAGCCGTGGTCATGGTGTCTCTTCACAGCAACAGCAACCCTAACTAAGATACCCGGCTTGGCCACTCAGCACACTGTCCAGACACCTTCTGTCTTTCCCAGCCTCCCCACATGGTGCCATGCTCACGTGGATGGTCTTCATGTCCCCTCTCCTATCACTCAAGCTCTGCTCATCCCGCTCGCCCCGACCTCTGGCTCTGGTAGGGAACTTTCTGCTCCCAGAATTTCCTCTTACCCAGATCATCCTTTCTCACCTGCCTCTGACAGGAGTCACCCATCGGAGCCCTACTGAGGTACACCATCCCACAGCCCTGTCTGTGGCACATCATCCCGGCCTTTCCTAGTCAGGCTAGAGGATGTGGATGTCCCCTTTCTGAAATTCCTGTCTGCTCTGGACTATGCCCTTGTACTGCTGTGAGGGAAAGGGTAAGGCGGGGGTAAATGCTCCCCAAACAGCTCTCCGAGGCACATCTGTCCTTTCTTGTAGTTCCCACAGTACTTTGCTGCACACAAAACCTATTTGGTAACTGGATTTCTGAGAACTGAGCACACCAAGTCTTTCTCCCTACCTATAGCTCCTATTTTTACTCTACTCCCAGATGCCTCTTCTTGGTGAACAACCTCCTCTCCAGGAACAGACTCCTGACTCACTGCAGCCGCTCCTGCAGCCTCTCTCTGTGCTCCCGTCTCAGTGCTCCCCTCAGAGACCAGCGCACCACTGCAAAGCTTAGAGACAGTCACGCCACGGAGACGCAGGGTGCCTGTCGTCTTCGTCCCTAGAGCTCTGCTGGTTCCACGGTGGGCAGATGAAAGGAATCCTGGCCACAGGAGGTCAGTGACAACAAGGTCCCTCAAACTCACGGTCTGAGGAGAAGGGCCTGTTTCTTTCCGGAGTCGCCATTCTTCATGTCACTGCTCTTGGGTAACTCCACTGATAGCCCTCAGAAGATGAAATAAACCTTGTCTGATGGCCTTGTACCAGTTCTTCTGCTGGCTCTCCTCCGCACCCCCACCAGCCCGAACGATGCCAGAAAGGGGAAACCCAAGGAGGTGGGACACCAACAGGCGACCTTGGAGCTTGGGAAGCAGCTCACACTACACAGAACCCATGAGACAGAGCTAGCATCCCAGAGACCGAGAAAGGAAGACTTTTCCCACCTGGAAGCAACCAAAGGGATTTGTACAGGCAAAAGTTCAAAACCAGGAAAACAAGGTCAAACAAGGAATCCGCTGAGAGGGGGAGGGGAAAGCGGAGTAAATTCTCCCAAGCTGCAGGTCAAGGCTGGCTAGTGAAGGAAACATGAGGGAGCAAACCTGGCTTACAGACCAAGGCAGGAGCAGGCCACACAGGTCTCTACCCGAGACACTGAGGATACTGGTCCCATTGCCCTCTGAAGCAGATGGTTCCTGAAATACCTGCAGCCTGTCTCAAGCACGTACGGCTGCCAGGGCACCTCATTCCTGTGCAGTCCAAGGCAACCAAATACAGGGTGGGTGTAAGGGAGCTCTCATTCCAGGAGGAGGCTCCATCTTAGCCAGATGTGGACAAACCCATCCAATCTCACATTTTCTCCTAACAGTCATCAATATGAGATTCCTAAGAGGAGGGGCAGAGGGCGGCTGTGTGGGAGGCCCTCATGGTGGGAATGATAAATGGGCTCTCAAAAAGTGTGTGCTTCTGTTCTCCACATGACCTGGATGGCCCGCAGTCCGAGACCAGGATAGACCGAGACTGGCTCCAGGCCTCCCCCATTCTCTTCTAATGGTAAGCTCTGGGCACTCAGGGCAGTGTTTTCCCAGGGACCCTTGGGAACACTTGGAGAAGTCTCCATATCTCTATCTCTTTGTGTGTGTGTGTGTGTGTGTGTGTGTGTGTGTGTGTGTGTGTGTGTGTGTGTGTGTGTGTGTGTGTTGGGGGGACTCTTTATGTGTATATATGCATGCAAGAGTGTGCGGAGGCCACAGATGGAAATGGGTGTCTTCCTTCTATGACTTGACACCGGATCGTTTGAGGCAGGGCATCTTCACACACAAGCACCACAACCACCAACACCACCACCACCACCGCCGCCACCACCTACTGCTGCCGCTGCTGCCGCCACCACTAGAGTAAGAGATGTATGCGGCTACGCCTTTACCATTACCACCACTGCTACCAGCACCACCACCGCCACCGCCACCACCAGAGTAACAGGCGCAGGCAGCCATGCCTGGCTTTTAGGAGGGCGCTGGGGATCGGAACGAGGGTCCCCATGTTCGTGTAGCAAGAACTCTATTCACTGATCTGTCTCCCTAGCCCCTCGTTAGTGTGTGTGTGTGTGTGTGTAAAACACGATTCTTAAAGGTCTAATAATAATAATAATAATAATAATAATAATAATAATAATAATACAGAGCCAGATACTGAGGTGAAAGCTGAAAGATCAGAGAAGCAGGACAGCCAGCCACTAGCTTACCTCTACAGAATCCTCAGCCTCAAGAGATCGAGTTCCTGTTTCCTCACACATTATATACCTTTCTGTGTCCTGCCATATTACTTCCTGGGATTAAAGGTGCGTGTCACCACTGCCTGGTTCTGTTTCTCTCATGTAGCCCAGTGTGGCCTCGAACTCACAGAGATCCAGACGTGTCTCTGCCTCCCAAGTGATAGGATTCAAGGTGTGTGCCACCACTGCCTGACCTCTATGTCTAATTTAGTGGCTGGCTGTGTCCTCTGATCCCCAGGTAAGCTTTACTGGGATTCACAATATATCATTGTGTGTGTGTGTGTGTGTGTGTGTGTGTGTGTGTGTGTGTGTGTAGGTCACAAGACAACCTCAGCTGTCATCCTCAGGAAGGCCAACCATCTCATTTGAGATAGGATCTCTTCCAGTCCAGAAGGCCCCCAATTAGGCTAGAACGCCCGTGATCTCCAGAGATCTGTCTGTATCTACCTCTCCAGCCCTGAGACTGCAAGTGCATGCCACCACACCTGGCATTTCTGCATGGGTCCTGGGAATGGAATCCAGGTCTTCATGTTTTCGAGGCAGGTGCTTTACTGCCTCGGCCATCCCTCCCAACCCCCTATCTTCCTCTTCCTACAGACACAGAATCTCTGGGACCAGCTCTCAGACTCACAGTTTCTAAAAGATCCCTTACGGATGCTTTTGTTCATGAAATTTCTAAGCCACTGAGGAAAGGTTATCTAGCTCTCTTTGTATCTTTCCGACATTCAATTGTCTCTCTTCTTCACCAAACCTAGGGGGCCACGTAGTATCCTTCTGGCCTCCCTACACTCAGTGAAAGAAAGATTCCTTTTCTCTCTAGAACCCGAGCCCCACCACCCTGCCTGGGGCCAGGGATGCCTACAATGAGGCCAGGCCAAATGCTGCTCGCTCTGCACACGTGTCAGCCTCTCCTGCCATCTTGACCAGTTTTCTTCCATGTTTTATGTTGTTATGGCTCCCCATCTGCCACCCCACCCCATCATCACATGTCCGGGGCACTTAAGGTTCTTATTTTCTTTCCATATTGGCATGTCCTTTAAATGTCCCCAATTTTGCAATCTTTTGCATCAGCAGATGCTTGGGTGGGGGGGGGAGGAAGCAGTCAGGCTTCTGGGAGCTGGGCCAGAGCTCTTATCCAAGGTCAGTGCTGGCAGTCAGGGCAGGAGCGGGAAGGAAGGGAAGTGATGCCCAATGTGAGACCCCGGGCGCATCTTCCCACAGCCACTCCGTCTGCGTGCCTCAGGCTGAGAGACGCTGCCCGTTCTTCTAGCTTCGTCATCGGCATCACCATCATCTCAGCAGAGAGTTTTTAAAATTGTTCTTTGGCAATTTCACACACATATAGAATAAATTCTGATCACATGCATCGCTCCACCCCGTCTTGTCTTCCCACACCCCTGACAAGCACCCCCCTCCTCCTACCCAGTTCCTCTCCTACTTCAACATCATCTTGTTGTTTTTCTTTGTGATTCACTGGGTTTGCATAGGCTCACTTGTATGGCAATGGGTGCAAGGCTAGCCAATGGATCGTGAACAAGCTCACCAGAGGCTGCTTCACAGAAGATAATACTTCCTCTCCCCTAGCAGCCCTCCACTGCCATTACCTCCCCTGCCCCACTGGGGGACAGGCAGGGACCCATGTGTCCCTCCTCCAGCTCTGAGTGAATGTTTACCGGCTCAGTTTTCTGCCAGCAACTGCAGCCGCCATGAGTTCGTGAGTGCCACCACTATGCCAGAGCCGTAACACGGATGTTTCACTGTGGTTCTGGTCCTCTTACGATCTTTCCACACCTCCACAGAGGGAAGTTTTTGTTTAGGGTTTTTCCAGGCAAATTGGGAAAATCTATCAGTAAGATCAGGAGTGAGGCTAGAAATCCTGAATTACTCAGGGTCTTTCACCTCGAGGAGTAGGGCAGACCTTCAGGACAAGCTGAGCAACCTTAACCAAACATTCCAAAACCCAACAAGTCAGAGGCTTTTTTGGAACACCAACATGATAAGTAGAAAATTCAATACTACAAAACTTTAGGGGCTGGAGAGATGGCTCAGAGGTTAAGTGCACTGGCTGCTCTTCCAAAGGTTCTGAGTTCAATTCCCACCAACCATATGGTGGCTCCCAACCATCTATAGTGAGATCTGGTGTCCTCTTCTGGCATGCAGGTATATATGCAGGCAGAGAACACTACGTAATAAATAAATAGATCTTAAACACACACACACACACACACACACACACACACACACACAACAAAAAACAAAAAACAGAAAGAACATGTATAATACTGTATAAAATTACTCTCTGGCTGTGTTTGTTTGGGTTCCATCCCCAAAACAGCTGTTTATGTCTATGAACATAACTGTGAAATCTGAACTCCAAAGTGCCCGGTCCTAGGCATTCTGGATGAGGGCTAGCTAACCTCCACAGCATTCTGAGCCCCGCATGCGCATGAAACACGCTGACTGAGGAATGGGTGTCTCTCCTGCCCTCTGTTCTCACCACCTCGCTTAGGCTCTGCCCGATTCAGAAGGCCAATCCCCTGCCATCCATCCCAGCACACTCTCCAAACATGCTGTGCACAGCTCTTCTTAAGGGCTAGCAAGCTCATGCCACCAATGTCTGTTAGGTGAGCTCATTAGATCATTTATACACACATGCAGAGAGAGACAGACGCCGAGAGAGAAACTCTATGCACTGTCCTTCTGTAACCCCCAATGAAATAACCAGTTTTCTGGGAATTATGGAAGAGCAAAGCACTTTGGGATTAGAGTAAAATGAGGTCAGGCTTGGAATAAGGTCTGAGACCTGGAGATTTGGCTCACTCCCTACAAGAGTCATGCCAGCAGGCAGAATCTGGAGCAGCCAGATTGGCTGACCAACTGCTTCATTCTCCTGCCACAGAGAGCTCCCCACAGGCAGATGCCCACTAGGTTCGGAGGCTCTATCACTTGCCAGACTATTTCTGTCTCAGGGAGACACATGTACTCTGGACAAAGACCAATACAGCAGGCTTCCCCTTTTTGTTTTTCTTGGTAGTGGTGGTGCATACATGCTTGTGTGCCTGCGTGTGTGTGTGTGTGTGTGTGTGTGTGTGTGTGTGTGTGTGTATCCGAGAATCAAACTCTGGGCCCCAAATAATCTAGGAAAATGCTCTACCAATCAGCAAGGCCAGCCTCTAAGTGCCAGCTTTTAATAGCATTAGCCTGTATTTCTGTGTGTGTTGGGATGGTCAAATTAGTCATTTCACTCACTCTGCGGGCAAAATGTCAGTCAGAAAACTCTCCGCAGAAGTTTTGCTGTATATATAAATGATGTGTGCATAATACGCACATGCATACATTTACCAGTACTCTGCGCTTTTTTTCCCATCTAAATCAAAATTCCATTTACTGAATTTTTTATTGACATCATTATAGATTCACATGCAGTTAGAAGAAATTACACCCTGAGGGAGTTAGAGACGGCCCAGTCAGTAAAGAATTCGCTGCACAGGCATGA